CACAACCTTTGAAGCAGCTTGAGGTAGGGTTAGATAGAGCTGGATTTCGCGTTTCCAACAAGCATCGAAATTGCTCTGGAAGCCTTCCTTGCAGAAAGATAGGGTCTCTCAAATTTCGTCGAGTAAATGTCGAGGAGGCCGAAATTTTCACGCGAGTTTTTGCCACTTCAAGAGCAATATATCTCTTATATTGTAAGATCCTGAAAAAGGGAAGATAGTTTTGGAAAGCGGAAGGTTTGCGCTTCCTGATGGTCTGTTTAGTTTTCTTCTACAGCTTTTTGGTTGAAGAGATAATTGCGTCGAGGATCTATCGAGGTCGGATCCGGCCACCTGGAAATCCGCTCCCTCATTCACCATTGCAAGTGTGACTCGTTGGCAACACTCGGAATGTGTCTAGAACAATATCTTTGAACGCAAACAATAAGAATAGGAGCAATCGTCATCATCCGATTTGGTATATTGGTATAAGCCATGCATCCCTCCTCCACTCACAGTTGCAGAATCGATTGAAAGGTGTTATATGATGGGGACCTTCGAACGAAACTGTATTGTAGTAGACATAGTGTGTTGTGCTATTCCTGTAACCTAAAAAACAACTTCATTTGCCCAGCGCTTTTTCTTCACGGTTGTCGTTTTTCCGACAGGGTCCCTAACAACAGCGTCATTCTCAGCGAGGTATTAAGGGGAGAAGGAGCGAGTGATAGGCGGAGGAGGTGCCTTTGCAGCGCGTGCGCACATGTGGCACTCTTCTTTGCGGGGATGCACTTTCATTCTTTGTACTGCCTTCAAATACGCCCTTCTCATGAAGGTGGAGGAATGGAGCGACTGAACCTGCAAAGAAAATTTAATATCATGTTTTTTTTCGGATGTTTTCATTTTCTGCTGCGCTATACCCTCTTACCTATCTGCACCACGATACCACTTCTGTTACTGACCCCCAAGAGTACGACCCCCCATGGACCAGCCCGACAGGTACGACCCCCCTGTCGAGGATTTCCTCGACCGATATTCACCCTGGTCGGGACCTCCTTCCACGGCAAGCTTTCTATCCTCCGCTATGGTCCCTTCCTCCTGTGACACCAACAGTTCCTGGGGCCGTAAGGTATGCTCTCCTGTTCGGGGCTGGGACGCCCCGATTCGGGTCTCCCCGAGAATGGCGTCCCCGAAAGCAGCCGTAAGGTATGCTCGCGGGGCGTCCCAGGGGAGTCAGACATACAGTGTCCATGGCGCGCTCAAAAGTTGGCAAGTTGCCAGATCGTAAGTTTGGGCTTGGAAAGGATCGGAGGTATACACCGAGATGCTCGCCTCTTTGAAAAGATTTCCCGCGTGCGCACCTCTGAATGTACGTGGCACTGGAGCGATCTTTCCACTACTGGTACTGGTCTGGAAAGCGCCACAATGGTCGCTGATGCCGATGGCCGCACTGGCACAGACGATAGAAAACGATGTGATATGTCCCTAAGGAGTTTAACGTTCCGAGAGGTAGAGGGACCCCGCCAGAGAGCAGCAGAGACGATTAAAGTGCTGGAGGGCTCAGTAGTCCTTCATAACCGATTAGAGACACCGCAGTTTCGTGCCTTTTGCCACATAGAGTTTTGAGTTTTGAGTTTGCTCTTCGTACTGGTACCACCGCAGTATAGATATACTCGCAAGGAGAGCAGGGAATGGTAACTAGGGGATGCGGCCGTTCGCACGAGAGTACAGGTAGGAAGCCATCTTTCAGATAGTAAGATAATGATTCGGATGTATGGGAGTTTGGACACCACCACAAATGTACCTCTTTTGATCCCACAAGAATCGATCTTCGTTTTTCCTATCTCTTGTAGCATTGAATTAGTATTTTGCGAGACATTTTTTCTAAGAAAATTGTAAAATGTCAGTATGTTGAAGCTAATCCTCGTCAAATCCACACTGGAGGGAACTCAGAGCAATTTATTCGGGGAGTTTTTCGCTGCGACTGCTTGGATTTTGTGCTTCCATCCAGTAAGTCGTGTGAGCAAAGCCCATCACCTTTCAAATATCTACAGCGGTGTTTTCAAAAACTGTTCACCAGTCAGTGACCTCAGCAAAAGTAATAATACATACCTGAAACGAAAAAGCGAGGAATCATAGGAACAGTTGTGATGAACTTTCCAACATAATTTTTTACGTAAACTGCATTAGGGGAAATAAGTGGATGCTACTTGACCGATATTTTTGTGGTTTTATATTATGTGCCCTTAGGAGACCGGCAATAATGTTGAGTGCGAAAATTGTTTGAATCAGTGACCTTAGTGGGTAGAGGAGCTCAAGTCAAGTCACCAAAGCAGAGAAATATCACCGGTTGCCTAAGAAGAAATGTAGTCACTCGTCCTCAGTGGGTGGGAACGGCAGCATGCGACACACTGCATTAGGGTTATGGAAACGCTCAGTTTTAGGACTGAGCCTCAGAAGGAGAAGAGTGGCCTCCGAAGTGCGTGAGCAACCTTTCTCTCCAAAATCGTCTCCCTCCGTAGCTCAGTTCCAGGAAGTTTTCCTACAGACTGCACCCTCCTCCCGTCCTCCCCCGCTTCGCAGTTACAAAGAACATTATTACGACGAAGAATACAAACAACCTGACTCTCAAGAAATATCCATTTGGGGAAGTTAATCCTTCATTGTGAACACATCTACCTCTACAAGTCGCATTCCTTCAGGATTTCCCTAGTGACTCTAACACCAGTATAGCTGGGAGAAAGCTCGCCCCAGTGCGACATCTGTTTAAACGAGCGCGCGCGGGAAGTTTTTTCAAAGAGGCGAGCATCTCGCAAAAAGTCTCGAAAATTATAAAAAATGTAACATAATATTCATAATTTTGATTTGATTGCTATCCCAATCAACGTGACATCGTTGGTGAACAAATCATTCAGAATAGATCGATCGGCTCTTTGTCTTGCTGTGCACATCAAAATTATGATTACATGCTCACAAATGTGAAAGTTCCAGAGTTGCCATGCGCGACTCATAGAAGAATTGCGCGCCCGACAGACAATTCCACACTCTGCGGCCACTGGACTATGGTAGCCCCGGCTAGCCCCGAACGCATGATCGAATCGGGAAGGATCTTCCCCTCAAACAGGTGGGCGTGGCCTCTCCCCGAAAGCTTTCGGGGAGAGCATACCTTACGAGGATGGGAACCCTCTCCTATTCGGGAGAGCATACCTTACGGCCCCTGTAAGTGACGCGTATGCAACACAATGGTGTGTTCGTACAGTAGAAGGGACACATGATATGACGGTAGATTTTTCGCTTCCCTTCCTCATCCTCCCTTCCTCTCTCCACTGCCCTCCAGCTGCCACTGCAGCACCATGTGGAATGAACGGAAGTGTGCTAAGCAGGTGTTTATATAGCCCTAAGAGTGTTATCACAACTATCCTGCTACAAAACATTGATATCTCAAATCCTGTAAGCTACCCGATTTGTTATCGGTTTGTTTATCCCATGAGCTTCCTTCTCACTCACTTCATTTTGCGGACGGACACACATACATACATACACACGCACACACACACACACACACACACACATACAGATACACAAACCGACACACAAAGTTAGCGCTTTATATAATAGAAGGATAATCGGCTAAGCGGTTGTGCGTGTGTGTGTCTGTGTGTGTGTGTGTGTGTATGTGTTTGTCTGTCTGACCGGAAATTCATAGCTCGGGCACCAGTGGTCGTCAGGAGTTGGTTTCAAGATATGATATAGGGGGTGGGACGGGAACATATTTGGTGGGGTAAAGAAAGTGATCACAACTGATAAGGGCTGATAAAAGGCGCTAGAACGCAAGTGTCGCGAAATTCATAGCTCGGGCACCAGTGGTCGTCAGGAGTTGGTTTCAAGATATGATATAGGGGGTGGGACGGGAACATATTTGGTGGGGTACAGAAAGTGATAACAACTGATAAGGGCTGATAAAAGGCGCTAGAACGCAAGTGTCGCGAAATTCATAGCTCGGCACCAGTGGTCGTCAGGAGTTGGTTTCAAGATATGATATAGGGGGTGGGACGGGAACATATTTGGTGGGGTACAGAAAGTGATAACAACTGATAAGGGCTGATAAAAGGCGCTAGAACGCAAGTGTCGCGAAATTCATAGTGCGCTTCGCAGCAGTCGTCAGGAGCTGATTTTGGGGCATGATATAGGGGGTGGGACGGGAACATATTTGGTGGGGGTCACAAAGTGATAACGACTGATAAGAGCAGATAAGAGGCGCTGAAACACAAATTTCACGAAATTCATAGTGCGCTTCGCAGCAGTCGTCAGGAGCTGATTTTGGGACATGATATAGGGGGTGGGACGGGAACATATTTGGTGGGGGTCACCAAGTGATAACGACTGATGACGACTGATATAACGACATGCGTACGAACGTAGAGAGCACTTGAAATAGAGAATAGAGAGCAGATTGTAGATAATGCCTTTTATTTCAATATCATTTCATCAGCGTTGTAATTGTAAACTCAAACACCTTTCGACCGCTACACCTTCTAGAGTTCTTGAGGATGAATGGGATGCTCGAATAAATATGATAATGAATACTAGGCATTCCGTTTTGAGATATTCGACCGCTAAATTACCTCGATACTCGACGCATAGTGGTTGTTTACATCATCACTTTAGCTGTGCACTTCACTGCGCTTATCAAACAGTGAGATACAGCCAAGATGGGCAGCCTATGCAACGGACAGTAATACATTTAACGAAGCAGCTATAATTTAGCGGTGAAACCTAAAGCTTCATCGATTGTCAGTTCTATCAATGCGCGCGGTAGCGGGCGGAGCTAAACTGGTATATATATACATATACATACTCACAACACATACCGTACATACTAACCCGACACACAAAGTTTTCAGCGCTTTATAAAATAAAGGATAATATTGAAAAATCTTCACAAGTATAGTTAAATACGGTATTGAGTAGGATAAAGATTCACAGGTTCATGTACGATGTTAAAAGAAGTCTAATTCACTAAAAACTTTGGGAGCCTCTTTTGTTGGGGGTACTGCGATAAATCCTATTTGTCGACATACCTTGATCACTGGTTGATCGTTGACTTTCCTGAGTTCCAGAATAATCATTGAGTTATAGGTGGGTGCGAATTGGCGAACTGCTGCCCATCGAATCCCTATTGCATCCATGAGAGACTGCCATGCAACCAGTCTGCTGAAAAAGCGTATAGGAAAATGTAAAGGGTGGACTTTTCGAAGGGCATGTGAACTGGTGTGATGGCAAGTAGAGACATATCCATGTATGGTCAGGCGAGTCACATCTGCGGATTACCTCGCTCCAGGCGCGACCAAATCCTTCCACTCTCGAGGCTAGTGGACCCAACTCTTTCTGTTGGGAGTAATAATTCGTATGAGGCCTATCTTCAGCAAGTCAGCTGATTAAAGGTCAAAGCACTACGACAAGTATTCTACCACGACGTGGATTGGCGCGAAACTGGTGTGTTTATTCTGATAAAACTAGACAGGAGGTGCGAAGAGGAATGATAGGAAAGTAGCGGAAGGAAAGGAAAGAGCACCATAGAAAGCGCTGAAATTTATCACATGAGGTCGACCGTAGTAAGACCGAGAGATTACAGCGCTGCAAGGAGAGGGAAAACGGGACAGGGCGTGTCGTACGCGATAGAACGCAGACACTACGAAGCTGATGAGCGTAGCAGCGTTCGCAGCGGTAAAGCAATGGCATTAGCTCCATTGCCGCGCAGTTTCACGTCGTGATGTACCACTACCGCCTTGTGATTAGTGGCGCCTGCGCACCTTACCGAGAGAAGAATTCTCCAAGGAATAAATCGAAGGCGCATTCCGCTTATTTTGGGTCTCCGCTGCTCCAGGATTTCGAAGGATTGCACAAATGAAGGATTTCTCTGGAGCAGTAGAGCTAGAAGCCCAGAAAGCAACACAATTAGCAAAAGGAACTCACCGTCGAGTAAGCTATAAACTTCTTTCGGTCGAGGCAACCTTGCGTGTAAAATGTCTCCCAGCTAGTTTCCAGGTGTTTAAATATGGTGTGGAGAAGGAAGCCGCATTTCAATCGAAGAACGGCCGGATCGTGATATTCTCCCGAACCGACGATGAAGTTATCAACCTTGAAAGCCCCATTCAATAAATGAACATATTCTGATAAAGAAATGCACCGAATTACCTTGGCGAAACTTCTATACACTTCATCTTTATTGGCATTGAACCAACCAGCCATCGGTAAACCGTTTTGGTGCTGGAAAGAGTGAACTTTAGCTGATTGAAATGGACAGCCATTTCTCCGTAATTTTACTAAATTTCGTAAAAAGCGTTGATCCAGAAATTATTATTTATCTATTTTTTTTTTGAAACGCCGCATAAGGATAAAGGATAAAGCATTTGCCGTTGATCAATCCCTTTTTGGGATGCGGCACGCATTCTACTTCCATTTGTACATTCGTAGTGGCGTTTGAATGGCCTATACAATGACTTGCGGGGGCCAGCCGATGTACAAGTCAGTGTTTTTATCCTCCCAGACAAGTCTGGTACCAATTAACCGACCCCGGAGGGATGGAAGGCTTGGTTGGCCCGGGCGACTCACGACCCAGGATTTGATCCCGGACCGCTCGCGTGGTGAGCGCGCCACTTGTCACTACACCACTTCCGCCCCTCTTCATAAGTTAGTCGTATGAAAACAAAACCGATATTCATGAAACTAGGCAATTCAGCTTGAGAATTTCTGTGAGGAGGGAAGAGTCATTAAGAATAAATCGAATTTTGAAAAGTAGGGGGGGGGGTAGTTCCTTTTGAAGCCTACAGTAGTGCAAGCGTTACGTGTACTGCCCACCAAAAACGAAGTGAACTTAAGGATAAGGATAAAGGATAAAGCATTTGCCGTTGATCAATCCCTTTTTGGATGCGGCACGCATTCTACTTCCATTTGTACATTCGTAGTGGCGTTTGAATGCGATGTGGCCTATACAATGACTTGCGGGGGCCAGCCGATGTACAAGTCAGTGTTTTTTATCCTCCCAGACAAGTCTGGTACCAATTAACCGACCCCGGAGGGATGGAAGGCTTGGTTGGCCCGGGCGACTCACGACCCAGGATTTGATCCCCGGACCGCTCAATAACTTCGTTGTTACGATAACACCGCGGGTGTACACTGTTGAGTTGTCGGAGGGGGTCTAACCCTTTCGTACGCTCACGAAATTACCACGACGTTGGGAAGCGAGGAAACGAGATTCCCGTTGGTAGAGGTTGCGATAGAGGGCGCGCAAGATAAAAATTTGCCGTTTTCAGCCGTGTATATACCCCGCTCCCGACGGCATTTTTGGAGGAAAAAGTGGGCGGAGTTTTGAGGGTTGAGTGGTAGTGGAAGTTAGTGTTATAGAGAGGAATATGGTGATCGAGGTGTCGGAAGGGGGGTCGTACCAAATCCACCTTGGGGGAGGGGGGTCGTAAAAATTTTTCGAATAGTAACAACGATAGGGTTGACCCTGCTCCGAACCCACCGCGCAGCGTTGAACCAAGCGTGGCAATCTGCCCACTAACAGCGAAACTTCCGCCCTTTGAAGCGAATAATCCATAAAGTTAGTCATACTTTTCTGAAAGCCCTACTCTTCTACTTTCTGGCCATAAAGTGCCCGCAATTATATGATCATTTTAAAATCTCCTGCTTCGCTACAAACAGGGTGCATGCCGTATCGATAATCCCCCAGCAATACCCTCCAGCCTGGACTGTGCTGAAGCTTACCATGCTGTTAAAAACTGTTGTTCGCAGCTCACGAACGGCAATGAATATTTTTGGTCTAGACAAAAAGCGCCCCTCTCGGAACACCCGGTTACCGTTACCTATTCCTCTGGGCTCTATACGGAAGATTACTTCCTTTGGATTATATTGCTCTAAGCTTCCTACCCCAGGCGCCGCTATCAGGCCCACGCGCTCAGTGTCCCACAAGCTGTCAGGGCCTCAGAGTAACCGTGCTTTCTTTCAACCATGGGTCGCTTAACTGGGTTATGAATTATCGGAATAAAAAAAATCCTGGTGCCTGCATTGTTAGCCACCACAAGCCGGTGCATGAGAAAAATCGACTCAAACACAACTACGGTTCTTTAAAGGTAAAATGCGTGCCTCGTTAAAAAGTGGAATGAAACAATGCTTCGCTGCTTTGAGCTACGGAAATGAGAGCAGGATTCACGGCGACCTCCCCATCGAGACGAATAGCCTCTTGCGATTGAACTGAGCGGAACCCTTCATCTTTGCTGCAGTTTGGGTGTTGAACAATTCATTCGGTGGGATAGATAATGTACGAGTATCCACACACTGTACCCGTCGTCGCGGCTTACAAAAGGCGCGAACGACGAACGGCCATACCAATAGGCAATGATGGCCTAATGTGATCTAATGGACAGAATACCCCGGGGGGCGGGATCATTACCGCATGACACGACAGCGTAGTAACGATGTAGCTGCTAATTCAAATGCACGCGGGTTAGTGGCGTTATGGAACAAGCAGGTTCAGACAACTCGTCTGGACACGCCCTTTACTCACTGCAAGGGAAAAGAGCGGAGGTCTTTATTTGAAGGTTTCATCGACAATTCAGCCGCGCTCCATAATTTTCATATCAACGACCATTAGCTCACCAGTTTGAACTGAGGTTGTTGTTTTAATACTCCCACCGGGAAAAACCTGGCAGTGATGTCGATTCGTGATCAGAAATGAAATGGAGCTGTTCTCAAATAAATCGCTCCGAATTTGGTTGGACCTGCCCCGCTTTGTTCTTTTTGAAACTGCTCGTTTTTGGAATGTATGTCTGATTGCTTTCATAATTACTGCTACGTGGTCCTTTCCATCTGCAGCCGTTGCAGCAGTTGAACAGATAAACTTAAGGAAAACACCATCGTAAGTGCTAAACGATTACCTCATTAATGAGAGAGTTCTGCCATTGAAAATGATTGCCCTGTAGGAATATCTTGCTTCTCTTATGGAGTTTCAAACATTCATAGACGAATCCTTGATATTCAGTGAACTGAAATGGTATGAAATAATGGCTGTCCAACGAGAACAGACGATTCAATCACATACTCTGTCATAATGGACTTCTGGGTATCGTCCACAAGTCTTGTAGATACGTGCTCTTGTCCACTTCACAATCTTCGGGACTGGCTAGCAACTAGAAGATATTGTTATGATATAAAATGTCACAAACAGACAGCTCATCAATCCCCTTACTACGAAATTAAAATTATTGGTTTATTACAGTTGAACTATTCAGTTTGTTACATTTTAAACTGTTTTTGGACCTTAACAATGTTGAAGTACTTTTGAAAATTTTCTAAAGGGTACGGTTCAAAGAGTAGATTAGTCTCCGTTTGCATTAAATCTCAGTGGGGAAGTCATGAGAGCGGTATGGGAACCTCTCCGTGAAAGAAGAAGTCATGGAACCTCTCGTGCCTGATTCGTAAAATTAAAGGATAAATATTCCGAAGAAGGCTCGTACACAACACTATTCCCCTGATTTTCGTAGCCCTTATAAAGGCAGTGAATGGAGATTTGTCTCTGCACTTAGGTAAATTCTAGGATAACTTTCCGGACCCTAGATCGCCGAAAGACACACTCATTCCTTCATTGAGCAGTGCTCTCGAGAATGGCGCTCGCGTTGAGTGACCATATCATCCGATCCAACCAAGCATACCAGTTGACCACTAATTTTGCCCTAATCACAACCTTGATGATCAGCAATTGATGAATGAACGATTTATCAAAAATTACTATATTTTATTTCTAACCGGTAATCAGTTCACATTTGCAGAAGTGTGTCGCACCCATTTACGAGTACATAGATCCCTAACCAGGAAGGTCTTTCAGGGCGTGACAAGCTTTTTGAAAACGGTCTTTTGCATGATATAGGGGCAGATGCGGGAACCACAGAACCATGGTTTTTTTCCTGAACGGCCCTCTGAATACCAGAAAAGGGGGTCCCTAGTTCGATTCCTCGTGGTGACAAATTTTTGCATTTCGAGTTGACGTTTCAAAATTCGCGCAAAATGGAGTTAGCATGAATAATTAGTACCATATTCATGATTAGGACCGTCAGTAACCCTTACAAAAGACTTTGATTAAAAACTTGAAATTTGAAGTAAGAGGTGTGACATCAAGCAGCCCCACTGTGGTGTCACACCTTTTTCACCAGTTTTTAATCAAAGTCTATTTGTAAGGGTTGACGGTCCTAATCATGAATATGGTACTAATTATTCATGCTAACTCCATTTTGCGCGAATTTTGGAACGTCAACTCGAAATGCAAAAATTTGTCACCACGAGGAATCGAACTAGGGACCCCTTTTCTGGTATTCAGAGGGCCGTTCAGGAAAAATGAACCATGGTTCTGTGGTTCCCCGCATCTGCCCCTATATCATGCAAAAGACCGTTTTCAAAAAAAACGAGCTTGGTCACGCCACTGAAAGACGCTTGCCTGATTAGCAAGAAGCCAAGAGTTATGATTCAACTTCAACGTACGCTACCACACACTGAAACGTGCTACAAGAGTTATGATTAAACATCAACGTACGCCCACACATCAACACGTGCCTACCGTTTGCACTTGCCTTGATGTCTGGGTCTCGCTAACTCCTACGCACCCTCATCTCCAAATCTATTTGCTATTTTCCTTCAGGTTATCGCTGACGAGAAATGAAGAGTCGAATATGAAGAGATCAAAGTGAGTCTCACACGTAAAGAGACATTTGGGCCAAAAAGTGGATTTTGTTAGGCTTTTCACAACATCGACGTGGTGCTCAAGTAAGCGAGAAGTGGTCGGACTCAAAAACCCTCATTAAAATCACAAGCCAGGCAGAAGTCGTGAACGACTCCTTTCGGTCTCTAAGATAGACTCCGAGAGACAATCACAGATGTGGCATTCCCGTGCACGGAAATCACCGACAAGAGCGCTAGGGCCTTGCAAAGTAAGCTGCAGCAGCTGCAATTTTTTCTTATCAGGCTGTTGTCTGGCGCCTCTCATCTGTTGCGCTCTCTCGCCTCATACTCTCCTCTCCGCGCTTAGTCTCTCATTGCCTTAGCACAGCCGATTAGGAAGGTGAGTAAGCCCTTAACCTAAGCGTTTTCGACAGATTCTTTTCTTTCCGGCCTTTCGCAGCAATGCATTCGTATTCGTGTGCGAGAACCACACCGATTTGTATGTATGTATGTAAGATTTGATGAAAATTCGAGGTGGGCGGAGTTTGCGCTATGGTGGGCGGAGCATGGCGTGGATGTGTGCGTGTGTGTCCCCGATCCTGGGCACGCCTTCAAAGGGTATTGCTGCCTGGTAAGTGCTAGAATCTATCTCGGAAACATTCATACAAGAAGTGGTTCCATTGCTGAAATTCCCAACTGAGGATGAACATGCAGAAAAATTTACTTACATAGTCGCCCTTTACTTGGCTATATACTGGTACGGGAGCACCGATTAATCGCTCGGCACTGTTGAACATGCCTCGACCCACCAAAGCTGCGGTCATTAGACAGCGACTATTAGCTCTACTCCGAAAATACACCTAAATCAGTTTTTATTCCAGAACTCGTCGTATAATGAGCATTCTCAGAGCAATAAGGTGCAGAATGGTCGGAAGCGAAACGATTATCTAAGATGAACGCTATTGGGCTACGGTCCCATCCACGGCGCCCACCGTCAGAAAAGCCCACGATGTCGTCAGAACCGCTCCACCTCGCACCCGGCACCCTGTCTTTAGGTTCGAAATTTGATGAAAATAGAACCTGTGCGGGTAATAATGGATCCTTCAGAAAGCCTGTCTCGACATACATGCTCCTGAGGAATTTCCCAAGCTCAAAGCTGCTCTCTATACCAGCCTGGAAAAAGAAGAGTTGCTTGTTGTACACTGGTAAAAACAAACTAGGTGAGGAACCTACATCGGTCAGTTCCCCAAGCCCATTAGGGAAGTACTGCTGAAAGGTGTCGTTCGACAGTTTGTCGGTGGGCGCACGAGCTCCATGGCGGAATAACTAAATGTACGTTTTAAGGTACTAAAGCGTACGTTTCCACGAATTTTTGAACTCATAAATTAGGAGATTTGGTAATTCCTGGCCTAGCACTTCAAACGGTGAGCCAAGACGGAATTTTGAGCCAGCATCATAACCCATTCCACCTTAGATTCCAAGCGCGCGGTACCGTGATGTCGCTGCACGTTGAAAGATGTAGACGACATTAAAGCGAAAAGCAGCTACACTAGAATCAAAGACTGAAGTGGTGTGAAGTTTAGAGATGAAAGAAAAACCATAAGAAACATCCCAGAATCCGAGAAATAGGATTCCTTCCGCGTCAATTCCGCATTGATGCGACTCTCATCGGTGCTGCCCTCTTAAATGTCAACGCTGTCTTCCGTAAACGGCAGAGACGGCGAGCAGGTGGGCGTGCCGCGGCGCCAGTGATGCAATGACGGCCATGCTAGATCGCCGGACGAATGCCATCAGCTGCGAAACTCGCATTCTACTACACCCGACGCATGAACGCCCAATAATACTTATTTTTATTCGGCCTATCGCCTATATCGTCTGGTCCGATCCAAGATCAACTGTCACGTTCGACATCTTTTCAAAATTTGCAACGCCCCCCTTTAAAAGTTCCCGAGCAAGCCGTCTCCACCACCATCAGTCTCTAGGAGGCTTCTAATACAACCCGTCCCTCCTGTTCATATACTTCACGCTAGTTTGCCTTAGAAATTTACCAAACCCTTCAAAACCTCTAATGAACCTTTCAAGCACCTCCGTTCCCATTATGATAACCTTGTTCAACTCCAAAATGCGACCAATTCGCCTTCGCGAAATCACAAATGGGACCCCATAGTTCGAATGGTGCGAACGGACGGCTGACTCTGATCGCATATACGAAAGCCTACTCTGAACGCTGCTCGGTACACACAGCAACCGCGATCTTGCTCAAGTGTTGCTCTCACTTTGACAGAATAATTAACTTGAAACCCTCCACTTTCCTTGAGAGATTTTGAATTTCGCGGAATTTCCTTTTCTGTGGGAAATATAAAATTATCTAATGGAGGAGAAAGGGCTTTGCTAAATAAGTTGAGTAAAAATCGGTGTACACATTTGATATGCAATTACTAACGATTCAGACGAACCATGTGTACCGCGAACCCTCCCGAGCATCCAGTGAGTGGGGGGGGGGGTTCGATATCAAGGGGACAGATAGACAATCTGATTTATGAGCAAGATTTGGAGAAATGGCCCACGACAAAATTTAGGCAGCATCCCGAAATTTGTCGTATGCAATGAAATGGTTCGAGCTTCTTAACCTAGGTCCTTACCTTAACATTTGACCGCCTCTGTCAGTAGATCCCGGCGGATCGGCCCATCGTGCGGCGAGAAAGTGAGCTGTAGATGGTCATGTGGACGAGTCGCGCAGACGTACTGTTAGCAGCGGCCAACTTAGCTACGTAAATGAACTGTAGCACAGCCCCATCCTCTGCCTGCGCCGTGAGACTCGTCCGCTAAATACCGTTCTGGTCTCTGCCTTTCGCGCAAGCGACGAGCCTCCCGTTGGGTACATACACTGAGCAGATTTTCTGCAGTGACTACTTCATAAATTCTTCTTTGACTCTTTCGTGGTGGTTGGCTCTCTAACAAAGTTTTTAAAGGCTTTTAACATACCACAATAGCTGATATTAGTTGGTTAGAATCAACAGCGGTTGTGATAGGCGCGACCAGAAGCAGCAAGTAGATCGAGTTCACGGGCTGCATTTTGGATTAGATGAGCATCTGGCCGGTTGCTAAATACATAACAGTTACATTTCAAACTGGCGATAATTGCTACTAGGTATATAAGGAAATGATGAAATAGAAAGCAAATAAGAAATAGAATAAAATAGGATAAAAAATAGAAAGAAAACACAAAGAGTATTGGGCTAGTCACTAAAGAAAAACTTGAGGAAAGACAAGTTTATTAGGGGAAGAAGCGTTTGTAAAGAGGGATGTAAGGGTCACGGTTGATCAAGTGGAGTGATGGATGTTACACACACTCGATCGAAATTCGAGTCGGTCATCAATTTGCCGTCGCCACCTTGGCTGATCATCAAAGTTCAGCAGATGTTGATGGATAGGTTTAACGGGGTGAAGTGGCAAATGGGGTCAATATGGCTACTTTTCTAGAAGGAACTAGAATTTGACATCTCAGGAAAATCGACACGAGTGCATTTTCGGGTCACTCATCTCTTGAACAATCGTATGCAAACGTCACTAACGCCGACAAGAAAGTGTTTATGGACCACTCAAAAGTTCGCTCACGTTATGCGATTAGCCCACCCCCGTTCCGAGCGCACTCCCATCCCCGCTCCAAGCAGCGTTGGTGAATCCGCCGCCCTGGAGCCGTTAAAAAATTCAGAGCGGCTAGTCCTACTGGAGCAATACGCCAAACACGAGAAGGGGTACGAATTTTCTAGTCCAATCATCGACAGCTCTGGTAACCTGACCCACCTGGAGAAGTAAACCTATCCCATCTCTTGTACTTGTGGCGATACGCCTTCGACCGTCTCTGCGGCCTTGGTTTCGCTCCAGAAACCTCGCGTTCTCCCCTAGGTCGAGGTCAACAGAGTTCGTGAGCAGATAATTGCGTGCTTGAGGTAGTAGACTCTAAGTATGTTAGGCCTGACGGCCTGGCTTATGCTCACGCATTGGCTTCTGCTTGAGCCTAGGGTTGGAGTTAGGCTTACTCGCTATGGGCAAATTAGAGGCGCTCTAATTTGAAGTGGCTTATCCTGATGGGAACTAACGATCACCTTTTCGCTCCCCTTTCAATCCTTTTTCGGCCCCATGATTCTAAAACCAATGGAAGAGCACGAAAGTGAAAAGAGAAAATTGAAATGTGAAGGTGGCAGTCGGGAGTGGGAGTGTGAGCTGGAAATGTGGCCGATGTTGTCAAACGATTGCTCTTCAAACAACTTTTTGTTTATTGGGTTTAACTGCGTAAGTAGGAGACTAATCAACAGAAGAAGGCGTGTGAGTAGGGCCAACCGTTTGTCACGAAACGAACGGCCCCTGAGAGGATTGTGTTTGGGTTTCGGATGATGGTGGAGGTAGAAGTCGCGCAGGCGTATGGGAATTGGTCATTTTTTAGAAGTTAGATTTTTCATCTAATTTTAGCGTTTAGCACTAAAGGGTCGAAATATACTGAAATAAACTAAGATTTTCAAGTGCCTGGAGGTTGTGGAGAAGTTTGGGGCTCACCTGGGAGTGTGTCGTCTGCGTTGAGAAAATCAAATACTATAGGAACGATCATGGTGGAGGAGGTAGTGGTCGAGGGTATGTGAGGGAACTCGTTCAGGGAATCGTCCAAATGGCAAAATTTGACGAACGTGAACGCTGGGTGGAAATAGTGATGGTAGATGTAGTCCTTGGGGAATGAGCGCTCAAAACCCGTTAACAGTTCGAGTTCGACAACCAAATATTTCAAAATATGTCTGTACCCCTCCTCCCGGTCACAATGACACATTTTTTCCAAAAAAAAAACAGTATAAGAAATGTTTTTTGGAAAATTTTTCTGAGAGAAAATGTGTTAAATATTACCATATAATGAACACAGACTTGCCTTTTACGGCTATCGAATATGAATTTGAGAACAAGTTTTGTTCTCTTCATTCCTGAGAGAAAAAACACTTTTTCTGTTCCTTAAAACCATATTTTCTCCACATCGTTTTCTACTGGTTCTCATTTTGTTCAAAAAGTTTCTTTCTACTATGTATTTATGTTGTTTTTGTTTATATTTATGTTTTGTTTTTTTTTTTTATGTTCCCCATTCTGGGGCGATGGCGAAAGAAAAACCGCTGTCGCCCTTGAAAGTGCAAATTGTTTCAAAAAGAACCAGTTATTAAGGGAAAGTGAAAGTGCTCGAAACTTGGGCAGAGGCCACTCGTCGCCAGGAGCTTCTCTAAGGATTCTGCAAGATACGGAGCTTGAAGGGATCTTGAACGTCCCCGCTTTTCATCGAGATAGACACCGTATCAAAAGAGCCTCTAATTTTGGAAAGTTGGGCGTAAAAGAAGAGTTTTCTAAAGAGCTTGATGACTCGTTCAACACTCGCCAAATAGCATCCGAGAGTTGAAAGTCGAAGGAAGATCCGATTCACGGGCATGCCCCAATAGAACTGGATGCTTCTCTTATAGCTTAGCCGATTGTTCTATCGTGAAATTCTAATGTGTAGTGTTTATATAGACTAACGGTAACCTTCTAGAACTATTCTTTTTTTCTGCAAGGACCGAAATGAGAGCTTCACTCGCTCATAGTACTCGGTACGACGTGGGAACCGATGAAATCAAAAGGTATGATGAATTGACCGTCATTTTAGATGGTAATGATTCAGTGGTAAAGAAAAACCAAGTGGGCCGACTTAGCACAAATGGGACACTTTTTTCGTCTGCTGGTTCCCGGCTGCGGGATTCCACGCTAGATGACGTCGCCAATGTGAACGCCTTGATCTGTCTCGATTCTTTCTCGACACAGCCGGAAACCCTGAGGCTGAGCCCAACACCTGGAGGCGGGAGCTGTCATGGAGGTGGCCGACACCATGGGTGAAGGCTTCCCCAGATCGACGCTTGGTGCGCCCTTTCACACAAAAGCGCCATGTTTCGCTCTCTGAAGGACCAAGCCTCCGTTTATAGTAGGCCTACAGGGGGGGGGGGCAAAAAAAAGAGTCACTCTCACTCACATTCAAAACAGAATTAATTACACTTTGCCAAAACCAAACCGAATGAGCTCAATTGCATATTGAAGAGCACATTCTATTCTATCAAAAAATTACATAGGGGCTTTCTACACCGACGACATCAGAAGATTTTCCCACGGAAACATGGTTCACGGTACGAGCTCAACGAGGTCGTCGAGAAACCATAGACGATTACGACGTCTCTGAAACGCTGGTCAAAAGCCATTTGCATAGTCAGAGCTAGTGTCCCTAAGAAGCCATTCACCAGTTATCCGATTGAAGAAATTATGTAGCAGCTTCAGAATGGAGCGATTATGGTAGGCCTCCTTGAGCTCGACGGTGACAGATGACGTCATATTCTGGAGACGGTGAAGCAGCGAAGGTGGGCCTGATTCTGCTTATGGGGGGACATCTAAGGAATATTTCGCCGTATAACTCCCAATAACAGCGGCATCCTTTGCGACGAAAAGTTTGATGATATGCGCCATGGGCAAAGTGACTCTTTTTTGCCCCCCCCCTGTATATTCCACTCTTCAACATCCATCTTATCGTAACACATGACTTCAAACGACGATCAACCGTACATGAAGTGCGTAGGTAAAACGGAATCGGTAGGAATAGAAGGACTCTTCAGAATGGACGTTCATGGGAATATGCATCCTTTCTGAAAAGGTTTCTTCATTATTGGAATTTTAAAGCAAGAAAATTATAAACCACTTGTTGTGATGAAAGTGCCGAAAGCAATTCAATAGCAGACTTTTATATCGTCTCATGGTATTGAATATTCAACGACACTGGCCTTGCAGGCTTCGCATCTCGAAATAG